GTATCTTTATAGCTCCAATAACATAAAGGATTTGAGCAAGCATATCAACGACATCTGCCCGAAAAAGTGTCAAATTTATTAGCAATGTTCACTTAACAGTCTGTACTTCAAAAAGTACAGAGATCATTAAAACCATTTTTTTCACATGAGAAAGCAAGGGAGGATATTTGTCAAAAAAACAATTAGGAAAAATTCAAAGGCAGGAAAAGAAAAGAATGCCATAACTGGAAATTCAATTTTTTATTGACACAATCATGATTAACATCTCTTCTAATCATGATTATCTCTTCTAATCATGATTAACATCCTTTAACCTTTAATCTTTCTTTATTATCTCTTCTAATCATGATTAACATCCTTTTTTTTGTGATTTGGTGTTAAACATGAGTATTAGTGAGTAGTTTGCTTAGAGTTTATAGATGTGGTAGATCAGGGGAATTTATTACTTGATTAAGGCTTGTTTAGTGCTTCATTATATAGGTTCCTCTCTATTAATCTGGTTTTAATGCTAGATTTGTCTTGCTCATACTTATCTAGGTTGTTAGCTTTCTCTTATGCCCACCAAGTGTTTGATGAAATGCTGATCTTGTTTAATAGAGGATTTGCTGGCCTTGGCTCAAGAGATTGACTGTTTGAGGAGCATCTTGACTGAAATAGAGTTGTTTATTAATGCTTGCTTAATGTTTTAGCACTAATGAGAGTTAGTTCTTGTTAAGATGTTTAGCAAAGGGCTATTTTACAAGAGATTGGATCTAGCTTGCTTGATTGTGAACTTTATGTCTAGGAATCACCATTGCTAGCTTGTTTGCTTGATCAATGTTGTTTGAAATAGCCTGTGTTAGTTCATAAATTCCCCAAAGTCAATAACCACATCTAGGAGCTTGCTTTTCTCTTATTTGAATATCGGATTTGCTCTGTTTTGCTCTGTTTTGCTTGCTTAGTTTTGTTTAGTTTGCTTTTATCTTTACTCTCTTTGCTGCTTGATCATATTAGGATATTAGATTGGTTGCTTAGGCAACACAAACACTTTTCTGCTTGCTTGACTTAGAGATTTTTACTCTCAACTCTTCTGTTTTCAACTAAAAGCCATTTGGATTGATAAAAACCCTATGCTATACTACAACTGACTAGTACAAGCTTGGGTGATTGACTAAGAGAGTCAAAACTCTTGTATCAATTTGGCGCCGTTGCCATTTGGGTTTTATGTTTGAATCATTAGAGTTTGTAGAATATGTAAGATCAAGTTATTAGTTTTCTTTGGTTACTAATCTCCTTTGACTCTCATTTCTGTCTTTCAGGTATATGAATTTGAGATTCAGAGGTTCAAGCAATCTTGAGACTTCATAGACAACATCAATCTGCTGGATAGAGGACAGAGAGCAAGGAGACAGCAAGAAAGGCAGCAACACTTGGAAATACTTGGGATAAACAACTAGGAACAAGTCATGGATGATATCAGATTTCAGGGTCCCCAAGGAGCTGATGGCGCTCAAGACATACAAGGACATCAATGTGTTCAAGGCTTACAGGGTGAGCAAGGTCCAAGAGGCGCTGCACAAGCTCCAAGAGCAGCTAGACCCATTGGCGCTGGTGATGCACTAAATGCCTACAACAACAGGACAAGTATCATTCCACCAGCTGTCCAAAACAACAACTTTGAAATCAAGTCTGGATTGATTTCAATGGTTCAGAGCAGTGAGTTTTATGGGCTGCCACTTGAAGATCCTCTAGATCATCTGGATAATTTTGATAGACTATGCTCCCTCACAAAGATCAATGGAATAAGTGAAGATGGCTTCAAACTCAGGTTATTTCCTTTTTCTCTTAGAGATAAAGCACACCAATGGGAGAAGAACCGGCCCCAAGGGACCAGCTGGGATGAGTGCAAGAAAGCTTTTCTAGCAAAGTTCTTCTCCACTTCAAGAACTGCAAGAATAAGGAATGAGATTTCAGGGTTTGCACAGAGGAACAATGAAAGCTTTGGTGAAGCTTAGGAGAGATTCAAGGGCTACACACTGCAATGTCCTCATCATGGCTTCTCACAAGTCTCTTTGATCTACACTCTATACGGAGGAGCCTTGCCTAAGATAAGAATGCTTTTGAATACTGCCTCAAATAGGAACTTCCTGTCAAAAGATGTGGATGAAGGCTTGAAGCTGGTAGAGAATTTGGCTCAGTCTGATGGAAACTACAATGAGAAATTTGACAGAGCTCCAAGAAGTGCAAAGGATGAGTTAGAGTCTAGTAGGAAAGAAAATCAAGTCTCTACATAAGAAGCTGGACTTGTAGCTAAGGGAAAAGAAAGAGGTTCACTTTGTGGGAGACATGGTTCAGCTTGATGATCAGGAACAATGCCAAGTTGAGAAGATGAACTACTTGGGCAATCAAGGTGGTTACAACAACTATGGGAACTACAGACAAAATCCCAATTTGTCTTACAGGAGCAACAATGTTGCCAACCCACAAGATCAGGTTTACCCTCAACAGCAACAGCAAGCTGCACCAAAACCTTTTGTTCTCTACAACAATCAAGGTTTTCAGCAAAGGAACAACAACTACCAACCTAGAGCGCCCTACAACCCTCCAGGATTCAATGCCCAAGCTCAAGGACAGGCTTCCTCCAGCTCTCAAGACACTAAACTCAAGACTCTCATGCAACAAATGATCAACACTCAAGTCACCACAACCTTGGAAATGAACAAGAAGTTTGCAGAGGTCCGCAACAAAATTGATTCAGTACATGTAGAGCTCACCAACAAGTTTGAAGGGTTGGCTGCAAGAGTCAAAACACTGGAAAACAACAAAGGCATAGCTGGTCCCAAGCCTCAAGGACACTTTCCTGAAAAACTAGAAGCTAACCCGAAGGAGTTCTGCAATGCCATAGTCATAGAAGAAGAGAGCTTCTCAGCTGAAGAGGAAGCTATCATTGAAGAGTTCCTCTACTTGTTCACTAAGGACACTGAACCTCAAGGTAGGGGGAAGAGTTCTTAGAAGTTGAAACTAACCAAGGAGCTGTAGAAGAAGGACCCTTTGAAGATGGGGAAAAATTAGATGAAGAAGAGTGGTGGGCGCCACATGAAGTTGTTGATAACACAAAGGACTACTTGATGGAAGCTGCTGATGATAAAGAAAAGGCTCAAGCTGCTGTCCTTCCTGTTCACCAACCAACCATCCCTTTTACAGGAAGATTCAAGGAACAGCTTGTGCAGAAATATGAAACCATCTATGCTGCTAAAATGGAATTGAGGGGTTTGGATGGCCAAGAAGAGCTTAAGAAGCTAAGGGTAAAAGCTGGAACATCAGAGGTTAAAGAGCTTACTATCAAGAAACTTGGAGATCCAGGATGTTTTACTCTCCCATGTGAGCTTAAAGGGCAGACTTTCAAAATCTGTCTTTGTGATCTTGGAGCAAGTATCAACCTTCTCCCATCCTATACTGCTAAAGGTCTTGGCTACACTCAACTTCAAGAGAGTAATGTGTCTCTTACTATAGCTGATGGGACAGTGAAGACACCACTTGGGAATCTCAAGGATGTACCAATGATGATTGAAGGAGTAACCATCCCCACTGATTTCTTGGTGCTTGATGTGGAAGGCCATATAAAGAATGCTATCATCCTAGGAAGACCTTTCTTAGCCTCAGCTGGAGCAGTGTTTGATGCCAAGGAGTGCACAATTGAGCTGAGACTGACCAGGAAGAAGGTTTTAAGGTTTGATTCCAAGGGGAATAAGCTGGAGTATGAGCAAGCCTTCTCAATGGACATCAAGAAGCTGAAGCAGCTTGGTAAACATTGGTCAGAGTTTGAAGGCTACCCAGGGGAGAGTTTTGATGGCTGCTGTTTGCCAAAGTTGTTTGAAGACACCACTGACAAGGAGGTCCTTGAAGTGGGTAGTTACAAGAATATGAATGATATTAAGCTGGTTACTAACAAAGGAGAGGTGGTTTTACAACCAAGTGTCTCTGAGAGGGGAGAGTTTAGCTTCAAGCTTCAGCAAGAGGGGAAGACTATGCCTTCTGCCAAGATCAGGATAAATGGAACCTCTGCCAGAGTCAAAAGGAGCAAGCCACCACCAAGGAGTTCCAAGACTCCTTCTCCTCACCTCCACTAAATAGGTAATCAAAGTCAAGCTTAGTGACTTTAAACAAGCACACTTGGGAGGTAGTCCCATGGTATCCTTTTGTATATATTATGCTTTCTAGTTTCTCTTTTATGCTTTGTTATTGTGTATAGAAACAGGAGTTCGAATTGGAGGTTGAGAAAGTCTTAAGGGGACAAAGAACAGGTGCTTTCTGGCTGACATCGATCAACTGTATCGGTCATGACGAGACCGATACAAACTTTTCGGTCATGAATATCTATCATATTTGATCGATGTCAGTGGAGCCAGTTTGCACCAGCCACTTCTCACCCTTTATTGACATCATATTCTACAAAATGCATGAAGCTTTTCGGAAGGTGCTACACATTCAAACAAGAAAGGTTTCTTAAGTATCTTTATAGCTCCAATAACATAAAGGATTTGAGCAAGCATATCAACGACATCTGCCCGAAAAAAATGTCATATTTATTAGCAATGTTCACTTAACAGTCTGTACTTCAAAAAGTACAGAGATCATTAATACCATTTTTTCACATGAGAAAGCAAGGGAGGATATTTGTCAAAAAAACAATTAGGAAAAATTCAAAGGCAGGAAAAGAAAAGAATGCCATAACAATTTTTTAGTGACACAATCAAACTGCTAGTAGATCTTTTTAAACTTACGCACACGATTCTGCAGACTTGACACAACACTTGTGCACATAGAGTCTGCCCAATTGTTGTCTGGCATGGAACAAAGAGGTTTATGAAGAAGTGCTTATGTTAAAAGAGTTCTGTGAGAAAAATAAATTCAGATTCACATGCAAAAAATGAAAAAAAAAGATGTAGACATTTAATCCCCTAATATCAGGGTGACAAGTGTATGATCCAAGCAGAGAAAAGTAATACTAACACTCAATGTTAAACTGCTACTAAATTTACAATCAGCATGAAACTTGACTCCCCAATCACAGCTAACTTTCCACAGAAGGTTAAGGACTGAATACTCACAGAATACTCGGAACAGAAGACAACAGACAGAAGATGGAGTGCTTCAAACTTCAGGGCATTATGCATGACTGCAAACTGATGTGCAACAGCAGCAACCTGAATAACAAATAACATGATATTTGCACTCCAAAATAAGCACAGAAGCTTTAGTAATTATTGCAAATGCAGAAGAGGAAAAATAACAAGTGGACTTACCACCAAAGACCGTTCTAAGAAGCGTTCAATATTCATGCTCTCCCTGGAAAGTTTACTAACCAATAACTGCAGAATCTTGATAGCAACCTCCATGGCATGTGAGCCTGAACAACATGTCTTGCATTAGCTTTCAGGACAAAATTATTCTCTGATTCATCTACCCTCAAAACATGGCATATTTTCTTTAACACATAGAGCTTTCATGAAGAAATTATTCTCAGTTAATCCAAAGAGTATTCACCGGTATCAATGTACACAGAAATAAACTATGTAAAACTAAGAAATGACTAATTACCATCAGGCAGATCAGACATCTGGGGGGCTATCACTCTCAAGCCTCCAGAGTTTATCAAAGCGATGACGCCACCTTCACAAGCCGTGGACACACCAAATACAGAACCTCATAGCATTCTTCGAGAATGTTTGCATTTGGTCTGAAATTGCAAAAGCCAATTTCCTAATTAACTTCAAGAAGTTGTAGTGTGTAAAATCGAAAGACGCAGAAGCAAAAACGGAGAAAACTTGATGGAAATTTACGGATTGAAGAATCAGGCGATCTAACATACCGTTTTGATTTTATTTTGAGAATAAGGGAAATCCGGGAGACCATCTCTACTGTTAGACAAAACCTGCTTCAAATCGCTTCATGTTCTAGCCGGAGCATAATCCTCTTTAACCTCGCCATCGAGAAACGGTGTCCTAATTGGATCCATCTCCTTCTGAATCTCAACACAGAAAACCATAATAGAAATTTATATTTGATGATTTATTGGAATTGATGCGGATGGAATATTGACCGATTTCTACATCTAAGAGTCGAGGAAAGGAGAGGAAGAATTAGAAAAAGTTCGAATATTTGTTTTTAAAAAAACTAATTCTAAGGCTAACGTGTTAGGAAAGGGTGTGCAGAGGTGTCACACTCTTGTGAAGCACAACTCAATTTTTATATAATAGATTTATGTATAATTTTAAATAAATATTCTGACGCAAAATATAAATTTGATACACTAGAATGATTTCTTACATATTTTCAACAAATAGTTACATAAGTTTCACATAACATTTATATTGTTCTACCAATAAATTAAGGAAGATTTGTGATGCAATATCGATGATACTATCAACAATGGAGCTGAGGATCAATGAACATGATAGTCTAGCCAAGGGTAAAGAAGAGACGATTTCCCTTGGAAAACATGTCACGAATAAATGAGAGACTATTTTTCATGATTTTTTCCTTTTAGACCTTAATCCCATCATGCATTCAGACTTAACCAAGATGTGGGGAGCATACACAACTCACCTAGAGTTCACCACGAAGAAGAATCAGCCAAAAAAAATTCCATATGAAGAAGTTATTGAAGATACAATTTGGCAGATCTTCAATAAGGTCGAGGGAGACATACAATCACTCATTGAATGATTCCGGACGAACCTGAATTAACTAAGCAACAAGTCCAGTTTTTTTGGATTCTCAACTGATTATAGTCGCGCGAAAAATTAGATTCGGTCCAAACAGAGCTCATACGAAGGAGATATTCAAGTTCAAATTCGGGTGAACCAGAATCTTTCCAAATCAGACATGCCATGAAATCATCCAGAAGCTGTCAAGATATAAGAACTCACGAGTTTCCCTCTTGGCCTATGCATTTAAAGCCTAACGGCTAGTTTTCTTTAATTTTGTCAATTCTGGTTCTTTTTTTTTTGCTTTTAGAACGTTGCAATGAGCATTATATAAGCTCACTTAGTATTTCATTTGTAAGCACCCTTGATCATTGAATTTAATTTAACGCTTTTAGTTTTCTCTTACAAAGTGAGTTATCTTTGTGTTTGTTTTTCATTTGAGTCTTGATATCTCTTGTATTTACACCATTTAGGCCTGCATTTAGTACATGTTTTGGTTCTCTTTTGCATGTTTTCCTTAGTTTGTGTCCCATTTTCTTATCCTTTTAGACTTAGGTTGCAGTTAGGATATAGTTTGCATTTTTCTTGTATTTTGGATGTTTTTAGGTGCTTATGGAGCTAAAAGGAGCTTGGAGGAGCTTTGAGGATGATCCAAGAAGCTAGCTGGACCAAAGGGAGCAAAAGGGATCAAAGCAGACAATCTCTGCAGAGCTTTTCGGCCAGAGCACGAAGAACATCGATCAAGGGTTGATCGATGCAAGATTTTCGGTCAGGAGCATCGATCAGGAAGTGACCGATACGAGCACATCGATCATCAGTACTGATCAGGAGTGACCGGTACAAATGCCCCGAGTTAATTTCGGTCACTACATCGATCACTGTCCAGACCGATGTAACTGTACATCGATCAACCCTGACTGTTGTAACTGATCGATGTAAACCCAGTCTGAACCTGTTTATTTACACTTTTGCCATTACTCTAGGACTTCCTTCCTTAGGCTAGAAATAGCCACTTTTTCCAGATTTTCGACAAGTCTTGTCAAATTACTGTTCTTAAGTATTTTTTTTGAGTTTGTAAGACAAAATTATACAATATGGAAAAATACTAAATCAAATATCTATGTGGATTTATTATAAGAATCTGACCTTCATCATTTCACAAAATCAGAGGATTCTCATTTAAGTCTAAAGAGAAATTGGTGCCAAGAAGACTTTTATTTTGTTTAGCTTATTTTTCTCCTTTTGTTTAAATGTAGATAATTTCATTTAAGTGTATTTATTTGTAAAGATCATTTGTAAGAGCTATAAAAGCTCATTGTTCTGTTGTAAAAAATATAGAATTTTTTGGAAATTAAAAGAGATTTTTCTCTAAAGCTTTGGCTTTGTTTTTGTTTATCTAAGCAATATGGAATTCTTCACTTAGTAAACATTTGAATCTATGTCTCTTGTGTACGATGCCTTGAAACTAGGTTTGTGAACTCATCACAGGGGCTTCCACACCCTTGAGTGGTGTTCTTCGATCCAGCCATCTATCCATCTCATCCACTGATCCAGCCTGAAAGAGACTTGAGTCCAGCAGGATTGATCCCGCAACCATCCACTTCGATCATCTTTTAAGCAAGTAGAAAGAGACTTCAGTCCAGCTGCTTGCTTCCACTCATTCACCCAACCATTTATAAGATCATCCCATTGATCTTATATCATTTGGTATCAGAGATAAAAGCTCATATCCTCTATCTTTTTTATTTTTTTTTGTTTTGTTTTTGTTTCATGTTTTATCAAGATTCCTATTAAAAAGAACAAAAAAAAGTTTTGGTTGTTTTTATTCTTTAATTTTTATAAACTTAAAAAAAAACTCAAAAAATGATTTTATGTTTTTGTTCTTTGATTCATGATTTTTTTATTTAAAAAAAAACCCAAAAAGAATCAGTGTTTTTCCCTTAAAATTAAATTTTATTTCTTTCATTAAAAAAACAAAAAAAAACTCTTTTTCTATTTATGTTTTTGTTTATTCCGATTTTTTTGTTTTAAAAAAATTATAAAATGAAAAAAAAAGTTTTATTTATGTTATAAGTAATATTTGCTAAAACGTTTTTTTTAAAAAAAAATCAGTTTTGAGGACAAAACCATTTGAAGAGGGAGAGAATGATACAATATGGAAAAATACTAAATCAAATATCTTCATTATGTGGATTTATTATAAGAATCTGGCCTTCATCATTTCACAAAATCAGAGGATTCTCATTTAAGTCTAAAGAGAAATTGGTGCCAAGAAGACTTTTATTTGATTTAGCTTATTTTTCTCCTTTTGTTTAAATGTAAATAATTTTATTTAAGTGTATTTATTTGTAAAGATCATTTGTAAGAGCTATAAAAGCTCATTGTTCTGTTGTAAAAAAATATAGAAATTTTTGAAAATTAAAAAAGATTTTTCTATAAAGCTTTGGTTTTGTTTTTGTTTATCTAAGCAAGATGGAATTCTTCACTTAGTAAACATTTGATCTATGTTTCTTGTGTGCGATGCCTTGAGACTAGGTTTGTGAACTCATCACAGGGGCTTTCACACCCTTGAGTGGCGTTCTTCGATCCACCCTTCTATTCCATTTCATCCACCGATCAAGCCTGAAAGAGACTTCAGTCCAGCAGATTGATCCCATCACCATCCACTTTGATCATCTCTTGAGCAAGTAGAAAGAGACTTCAGTCCAGCTGCTTGCTTCCACCCATTCACCCAACCATTTATAAGATCATCCCATTGATCTTATATCACAAAACCTTTGCTTATTTAATAGATTTGAGTATTTACCTTTAATCTTTATTTATTCTCTCATCTAATCATGATTAACATCCTTTTCCTTTGTGATTTGGTGTTAAACATGAGTATTAGTGAGTAGTTTGCTTAGAGTTTCTAGATGTGGTAGATTAAGGGAATTTATGACTTGATTAAGGCTTGTTTAGTGCTTTATTATATGGGTTCCTCTCTATTAATCTGTTTTTAATGCTAGATTTGTCTTGATCATACTCATCTAGGTTGTTAGCTTTCTCTTATGCCCACCAAGTGTTTGATGAAATGCTGATCTTGTTTAATAGAGGATTTGCTGGCCTTGGCTCAAGAGATTGACTGTTTGAGGAGCATCTTGACTGAAATAGAGTTGCTTATTAATGCTTGCTTAATGTTTTAGCACTAATGAGAGTTAGTTCTTGTTAAGATGTTTAGCAAAGGGCTATTTTACAAGAGATTGGATCTAGCTTGCTTAATTGTGAACTTTATGTCTAGGAATCACCATTGCTAGCTTGTTTGCTTGATCAATGTTGTTTGACATAGCCTTTGTTAGTTCATAAATTCCCCAAAGTCAATAACCACATCTAGGAGCTTGGTTTTCTCTTATTTGAATATCGGATTTGCTCTGTTTTGCTCTGTTTTGCTTGCTTAGTTTTGTTTAGTTTGCTTTTATCTTTACTCTCTTTGCTGCTTGATCATATTAGGATATTAGATTGGTTGCTTAGGCAACAAAAACACTTTTCTGCTTGCTTGACTTAGAGATTTTTACTCTCAACTCTTCTGTTTTCAACTAAAAGCCATTTGGATTCATAAAAACCCTATGCTATACTACAACTGACTAGTACAAGCTTGGGTGATTGACCAAGAGAGTCAAAACTCTTGTATCAATTTGGCGCCGTTGCCATTTGGGTTTTATGTTTGAATCATTAGAGTTTGTAGAATATGTATGATCAAGTTATTAGTTTTCTTTGGTTACTAATCTCCTTTGATTCTCATTTCTGTCTTTCAGGTATATGAATTTGAGATCCAGAGGTTCAAGCAATCTTGAGACTTCATAGACAACATGCTCTCAAGACACTATACTCAAGACTCTCATGCAACAAATGATCAACACTCAAGTCACCACAACCTTGGAAATGAACAAGAAGTTTGCAGAGGTCCGCAACAAAATTGATTCAGTACATGTAGAGCTCACCAACAAGTTTGAAGGGTTGGCTGCAAGAGTCAAAACACTGGAAAACAACAAAGGCATAGCTGGTCCCAAGCCTCAAGGACACTTTCATGGAAAACTAGAAGCTAACCCAAAGGAGTTCTGCAATGCCATAGTCATAGAAGAAGAGAGCTTCTCAGCTGAAGAGGAAGCTATCATTGAAGAGTTCCTCTACTTGTTCACTAAGGACACTGAACCTCAAGGTAGGGGGGAAGAGTTCTTAGAAGTTGAAACTGACCAAGGAGCTCTAGA